TTTTTTTTAAATCTGTTGTTTTCCCTCTTTCTCTTTCCTCATCCGGTTTCTCCGGGAAGTCTGCCTTTCTCCCGGCATGCCTCTTCACCGGCTTGTGCAGGCTTTCTTCCACTGCATGTGTTTCTTTACAGTTCTAGAAGTTTACTTTTACTTTGATCTCCCGCTGGCTCCTGTTGGTCTCTGCTCCCATTTCTGATGGGTTGTGTTTTTCAAGCTGTATTATGTGTGCGAGGTGTGGATTATTATTCCCCTTGCACTAATGCTCTCACACACAAGAGCTGATGCTTGCCAGCTGAAGTTATCTGTTCACAGTTATCTGACTGATAGCAAATACTATGATTACTCGATATCAACCAGCGCTAACATAAACGGCATAAATATTCTCCTCTGTGAATAATTTTAAAAGCTGTGCAGTAGGCTAGTAGTAGTGCCATTTCCTCTACTTGAACACGTGAAACTCTTTTTTTTTTCTTCCCTTTTAGAGAGATTTTGATGAACGCTGTGCCCAGTGTTCAGAAGTGAACTGGGGTCTGACCGATGGAGGCAGATTTTACTGCAGATCTTGCCACAATGTTACTGAGGTAAAAAGCTAAGCTACTGGCCTTGAGAAAGGTTTATTTTGATTGTTTCTTGGGTGTATATTAAGAAAATGTTAGACTTCATTCTTGGCATGAGGAGTTGAAGGCAGTATTGTGATCCTTCCTTTTTCATGCTTTACTTGACACTGTTTAAAACTAATGTTCCCTGAAATCACAAAATTTAAAATGAGCCCTTTTAAGATGCTGTGTTGCTGCAGCTGTAGTGCCGGCATGCTGTCTAGATGCTGTAGAGGTATTGCCTGGGTATTGTTGCACTTTAGTACAATACCGATGTAGGCAAACCCTGATGCATGTCACCTGTGCGTCCAGGATAGCAATCCTCTATCTTTGCAGTGTCTGAATGAAAAGTTTGGAATGCTCTGTCTCCCTTTAGTTTAGGAAATTTGAACAAGTTCCTCCATTAGGTTTTATGATGGGACAATCTATGCAAGTTAGGCCTGGCTTTTTTTCTTGCTAAGATATATTCCTGTCTTGCAGAGAACTAGAGAAGTTGTAAACACTGATTTTATTTCTAATACAAGAGTCCAGACAATCTCCAAACGTTTAAGAAAGCAGGAAAAAACTGGTACGTATGAGTTTCCCCCCTGTATTTTTCGTAAGAGTGGCTGTTCAGCCAGGATTCACCAATCCCATTATATCTGACTGTGGCCAAAAGCAAATAGCTAGGAAAGACTATAAGAACAGGAACAAAATACACCCCCAAAATGCTCTCAGTACCTTACATGCTCGCCTTTGGTGACTTCCTGAGCCACAGGTGGTGTTTGTTGGTTTTTTTTTCCATTGAACAGAACTATGTGTTACTTATTGCCACTGTGGCTTCCACAAATCAATACTCACTGAAAATACTGGTGGCATGCATTCAGATGTGGTCATGCCTTTGTTCCTTCCTTGTGATGGCTATCACAAAACCAGAGAAGTTATATGTCTTCATAAGTGAGATGTGATGGTGGTCCAGTTCTTAGAATGTCAGTCTGGCTTGCATTACAGGTACTGGGCCCTGTACAAACCTACATGGAAGGGATTTCATACAGTTACAATAGCTAAACCAATATTACATCTTTCATCCAGAGTCACCTCTATACTTTTAATTTCATGATTCCAAAGAATAGTAGTCATTATGTGTGATATGTGCTGTAAGGATGTTATGATAAGGCTGCTTGCTGGAGGTATGTATGCATACTGTGATGGCTGGATAGATGTTTTACTGTTGTGATCACTTTCAAAAAGCAAAAATGTATTACAGTGCTAAGTGAAGCATGGGGTTATCTTTGTCTCTGATACGCTGACCTATCTTCACTTTGCTGTGGTGGGAATGGATTACTACATTCCTTTGGAAAGAACAATTGTGGGGAACGAAGGGAGGAGTCGAAAGGGGAACAACCTTAACACCTCCTGAAGTCTGAGCTGTGTACCACTTCACACTTTTTATTTCTCCTGTTAGGAAGGTCATTAGACATCCCCCAGGCCTCTTAAGAAAGAAATCCTTAGCTTCGTACAGTCCCTTCTGCGAGCGCAATTACATTATACTATGGCAGCTTATTTTCATGCATTTATAGGAGTAAGCTGTATCTGTGGTTAACAGTTAAAGCCAACATCATTAAAGCAGGGCAGAAGCTTTGGGCAGGTAACTTCTGTGATGGTGAGATGCAAGGTTTGATTGGAAGGAAAAATAATGAAGAAGAGGTGTGAAGGGAATGAAAAGGAAGTTGAGAAACGCAGAGAAAATTTTTAAGACCAAAAGCCTGTAGAAAAGGAGTTGTAAATATAGAGAAGTAAGGGTGAAAAGTAAATGTAGTGCAGCCTGAGGAATAAGGAATAGATTGGAGATGGACCGTTGCTTATGAAATTTGTGTTATGCTGAGATTTGCTAGAAAGTTTCTCAGATATTCAGAGCTTCTTTCATTTAAATATCCATGATTTTGTGGGAGAGAATGGTGAAGAATGTGGTGATATTGGTTGTTTTTTGCCTGACTCACCACTGTAATGTGTTCCAGTTTTCTGTGCTGGGGATGGGAAAGAAATGATCGTATTTCATTTTCTAATGACAGGTTCTTAGTTATTTTAAAACTGGTCACTTAACAACTCTCCACTTGATTGCCACACTCAAAATTATAGTGAAATATATTATTATTGGGAGATGTGTGGAGTGCTGAACAGTGCTTGTTCAGTAGCTTTTCTTCTGATTAAGACTGTGAATAAATGGAAGTTAATGGAGTATTTGTCATAGCTGGTCTATGCTCTAGGATCTGAAATTATTTGAGACGTCTCTGTCCTCATACCAAGAGAACAGAACATTAAGTGGAAATAGGTGTGCATAAGGTTAAAAAAAAACACAACAAAACAGTACAAGCGAAAAAAAAATTTTTTTTTACTTAGATGGAGGCTGTGAATGGTATGTTTGTGAAGGTTTTCAGCTTGTGCTCAAGAAACAAGCTGAAGCTTTGGAAGCATTAGGAGTATGTCCACAAATGAAGGTATGTAGACGTCAGTGTGAGTTCTCCACACTGAGTGTGTAACAGGGGGTATTACATAAAAAGATTGTAGTTTTTAAAGTTAATTGAACAATTCCCTGTTTAGAAACATTGACAATATGGAACTTAGTTTCTCTGGTAATTTGAAAACATAGTTTATAAATCTCAGTTAGTAAAATTAGAGCTGGAACATTATTCAGATTCCTGAGTTAGAAATTATACTCTGTTCTCTCAGCAATTAATGATCTTGTAAACTTTGCACTACTCACTGTCCATTTGTATTTATCAGGATGAAATTTTGTGCAATTTTTGGAGGCGTTATCTTCAGAAGAGCAAACAGGCATATTGCAACAGACCAGCTGGGGAAACTGTCAAAGCATTGTCAGTAAGTGAAAAGCTCAAATCTCGTGAGATGTTGAGTATCTTTTTAAAAACCAACAACAGAAATATTCTTTGTTCAAGCTACATACCTAACTTGTATTAATGTCACTTCAGTATAAAGGATGTCTTCTAAATAGGGTTCCATATGTCGGTTTTGTTGTTTGTTTGTTTTCCCATTTTGAGAGGCAAATACTTCTCCAAGTGTGGAAAACTGCTTCTTTAAAAATATTGCTTTATTTTGGCATAGATAGTCAGTAGATAGAGCAGAAATACAACACAAAATGCATCATCAACTACCATCTTTTCTTGCTTGCTTTCTTGAAGTTACTTATTTCATCAAGCTTTAATTCTATGTATTGCGAACTTTCTGATCATTGTAGCAGATTGAAATCTAATGTCATCACTAGAAATCTTTTTATCTCGAGAACTCCTTTTAAAATACTGTTTTTTGCAGGGCTTCTTTACGTACTGGTGATGCATAGAGGAAGTAAAAATGTGAACAGTTGGGGTTTAAACTTAATTTGCTGTTCATCTTGCATCTATTGTGCTTTATTTGGTTTCTTCAGATTGAAACAATAGCTAACAGTAGATAATACAATGACTTATTTACAAAAAACAGGTATGCGATAGCAGTACTGATGTGGACAGTGAAGCAGAGAGATGTAGCCTCCTTTACTCGTCTCTCTCTGAAAGTGAGGGGGATCTACAAACTGATTGCAGCTTTGCCTCATCAACTAGCAAGGTCTCAGGTAGGAGCAATGAATGGAACTATCTGGAAACCATTTTTGTATTTTTTTTTTTTAATATAGATAAATATATGTAAAGTGTATGCGTGTACAATGAATTGGAGGAGCTGGTTGGAAAGTGTAGAATTTTCAGTCCCGTTTGCCACTAAAGTATTTTATATTCTACGAGAAGTAGAAGACTTGCCCCCTGCAAATCCCACCCAATGAGATGGCAGTTGAACAGGACCTGGAAATACAGTGGGAAATGCAGGAGGAAGTTCTATTGTATAACAAGCTTGTTCCATGCCTCCTGTTTGGAGTGGGAAAAAATAGCTGTTACATTTGCAAAGGTATGTGTTCACAAGCATGGCAGCTTCAAAGAATAAGCACTTGTTTAGCTAAAAGCAGAGCTGTCAGTTGTGACTTTGATGTTAAAAAATATGAGTTTGTTCTTTTGGGGGGAAGTTTTGTTGGTTTGTTTTTGGTGGTGGTGTTTTTTTTTTTTTTCCCTATGCCATAGATATATTATGATTTCTAATTTTTTTCCTTACAGTATTTTTGGTACTGTATCTTTCATCTCTGCATTCTTTTTGCTACTTTCCCTATAACCTCTTCTATCAAAAATCTTCTTTTAGCATTCCATCAGTTTCTCCTTTGTGTTCACAATATCAACTTGAAAATATTAACAGAATGCTAAACATTTTCATTAAAATATTATAGAAAACTGGAGTGTTTGTTGCTACTGGGAAAGTGTAATGCCACGTAATGCTGCAATGTCTGATACTGGAAATATGTTTCAGGGCACATTTGAAAGCTTTTGCTTGCATTTTAAACTTCTGATTTTTTTCTTTTTTGCTTTATTCTTTGCTTGCCTTTTCCTTCTTTGTTTGTTTCAGTCTTTCTTTCCCATTACATACAGTCCTCTTTATGTTCCATTTCTGTTCCTCTATGATATTGCCCATCTACCCTCAGAAGAATGCAATCTTGTTTTTCCATGTCTTTCTCTTTATTTTTTAAAGTTCAGAAATGGTAATAGAATAAGAAACTTGATCTGCAGCAATTAAAAAAAAATTCTTAATTTTTTTTAATCCACACAGAGTTAAAGAGAGGAAAAAGGTGCAGAAATGGTGATACAAATTTTTGTGAATATAATGCGAGTATGTTTCATCTGTATATATTAAAAAGACAAAATTTTCAGGTAAAGAGTCACTGCATGTTTGTACATGTAGCAGATCCTGGGTGTTACACAAATTTATATTATATGAAGGAAAAAGAATTGAGTGAAACATTTCTAGTGAAAATATTCCATTGAATTTTTTTCCTCGTCTTGATGTCTAGAGGAATCCCTTTCTTCCTTGGTGTTTGTGCCTTTTATAGTTATGTTTCTTAAACTCTAAGAACAGCTAGATGGTCTTAAGATAGGCCATAATTTAACATGTTCTTGGCCTGTTGTTTCAGAAATGGAATTCAGCTTTAAGTAGTCATACCGATTTCACTAAAAGCACTTGAGATGGATTAAGAAGTTCAGTGACACTAAAAGTACATTTTGGTGAAATCAAACAAACATAGGAATTGTTTTGTATATTGAAATTTAAGACAAGTAATACTATATGTGTTCTAGTCCATTATAATTGTTGTGAAAATGCATAGATTTCCTTTTCTGTGCTGTTTTTACTGAGTTGTTATTGCTACAAACTGGAAACTTCAACACCCTTTTTTTTCCTAAGAGGCTTGTCCAATGTGCAAGCATTTTTTTTTTTGTTATTTTTGTGTACAGGTAATAGGAGATTCTACTGAGTATAGCACTGAGATATTGCTGAAGAAGCCTATTAAACTCTTAAATTATTACGTGTGTGTAACTGTGTGTTGTCATGCCTTGCATAAGCTGGAAGAATAAAAGGAAATTGTGTGCCATCATTAAGGCCACAAATATCATGAGGATTATTTTAAATTGAGTTGAATGTGAAATTAATAATGAAGCTTTGGCCATGAAGTAGTCATGTCTTTAAGCACAAGTATCCATGTAAAAGGTGAAACTGTTGATTGAAAGGATTAACTGATGTTCCCGCTCTTGTTCCCCGATGCATCTATCCCTGATAGACCTCGTAGGATGATAGACCTTGTCTTTGTACAAGGTGTATGTTTGAGCCGGTTCTTCTAACCTGTCGCCGTGTCCTTAGTGCTACTGGCCGGCCTTTCAGGAGCCGGTAGGTGGCATCAAAGATCAATTCTGGGTCAGGAACACACTATTTGCTCGCTCTGTCTTGGTATTGTGTGTCAGCGGGCACTGGACCTCTACTGCTGACCGCTGTCACTTTACAGGCTTGGCCATCACTTGCCAGCATAGCCATGGAGCTGCCAAGCTCTCTGACGTTTTAAACTGTTTTTTGCAGGCTGCTTGCCATGGCCCTGCACCTCCCAGCTGGGGAGCTGTGGATCCAACCCTTGCTGTTCCTCTCTGAACAGGCGAACAGTCTGTGGGGAAACACAGCGAGAAAACCTCTACAGAGTCAATGCTGATATTTTGTGCTGGTGTGCTTTAAATGCAAAACATTTTCATCTGTCCTAGCTGGGTCATGATGTAGGGAAGAGAGGCTTTTCTTTTTCTCTTCCTCCTTCCCTGAACTCCCAGGTTTCACTGCTGAAAAGGTTCCTAACTCATAAATCACTACCTTAAATTAAATTTCTCATTGCTGCTTCTCTTAGTTTTCAGTGATTCATCTCAGTAAGGAGTGTTGCTATGTATGTTATTAGTTGTTTTTTCCCCCTGCCTTCCTTACCGTTTGCTATGCTTTTGTTCTAAAGGTGTTTTCTTTGTCACTGAATGTAGACACGTTTTTTTTAAAAGAATACTTACGTTTCTGCAGTTAAAGATTATATGGCAGATGGATACATACCTTAACCTCAGTAAAATTTCTGCAATGTAAATCATGTTCTTGTTAAAGTCCTGACTGTGCTGATTTAAGATAATGTGTTTTAATCCCCAATTCTGAGACATTTATTTAAGCACATTGAATTTTCTCTTGTTTCCCCACTGTTCCCTTATCTCTTAAATGGAAAATAGTATTTTCAGCTCGTAAGTACTGTTAGTTATATGTTGTATAGGAGTTAATGCCCTTCTAGAACTCCAGGTTTAAGTGTAGTTCCCAGCAAAAGGTCTGTTTTGATTGGTAGCAGAGTGACTTTTGTATCTTCATATGATCCAGTGTCTTAGTCAAGTGAAGTAGCAGTTTATGAAATGGGTTTTCATCTCATATCGTGGTAGATTAATAAATTAGAGTTAAGCTGTTAAGTAGAAAAGTACAGAAACTACAAAACTACTCAGAGTAATTATTTCAAAATGTTACTAGTTGCTGAACAAGGGTCCTTGTATGTTCCTTTATCTTGTTTTCTGTATACCATGGATCCTGTATATATCATATCAATTACTTTTTTTTTCTTTTCTGTTTTTAACATAAACCCAAGAAAGCACCTCTGTGTGCTCTGGATCAGTGGATGGTAGCTTGTATTTAATGAAGAACCAAAAGGAGAAACTGAGGATGACAATGCCAATGACCCTTTCATTTTGTTACATGGCATTACTCTGGTTGAGAGAACCAATGACATTATCTGATCTCTTGAGGTATGAATACTCTCTAGTGAAATATTTGTTGCTTTTATAAATAATAAATTTTTAAAAAAATTAGATCTGTACTATTGCCTTCTTACTAATTTGCTCAATAATAGTGAGAAGTTCTCTATGTTTAGTTGTCATATCTTTTCTTTGGCATACAATTTGTGCTGCTGCTTTTGGAAAACATTCTCCTCTGTTGCTTGCAAAATGACCTGTAAAGGAGAAGATTTTGGAGCTAAAGAAGTTTTTTATCCTTCTCCTTCAAAATTTCTTAAGATTCATTGGTCACACTTTACTGTTTTTGCTGTTGTCAGCATGCCAGAATTAAATGAGTAAACATTCTCCAGGACTTACATCAGTGTTATCATACAAACAATACCAGCTATATATAATGAGCTGAAAGGTAGCTAAGTAGCTTCATGAGACGGAGTCGGCCACAGAAATTAATGTAGGAAGTCCTTTTTTCCTTCATATCTTTGTATCTGTAATTATCAGAGTTCAAAACAATACAGCTTTTAATATAGTAGAAATAAAATATTCTAATAATAGGGTTTGATGCTAAATGGAGACTGTCAGGCTATTGCTGACAATGCAGTTCCCTTGTCCCCCACTACAACAAGGCTATGAACACATTCCTTATTTACTTAAGGAATGAAAAATAATTCAACTTTTCTTGATAGCAATAAATATTTTAAATCAGGCCCAAATAGTTTAAATTCTCGAATTCTTAGATTTTTTCCTTGGAAGACCTTTTGTATACTGATACTCCTTTTTAACAAGTGTTAAAATACTGGGTATTTATAAAAAGATGCGGGGAAAAAAAAGTGTTACTTTACCAAAATTTAAGGAAGAGAAAGACTCAAGTAACTGTAAATTGGCAATTCAAATTGCACACTCAGACAAAATAAAGGAAAAACTGATTCAGAATTCAGTACTTTAATTTTTTACTTTCAAGTGAGGTAAAGACGAGGCAATGAGTACGTCATCCCCCACCTGTGGTTCTTATAACTAGTATCGCTGCTGAAAGCGTGATGAATGTGAGGGAAGTTTACCCCAGCACCTGATCTTCCATCATGGCCTCTGTTCCCCTGGAGTGCCAACTTCCACCTGCAGTTTTCTAGCTTTGTACAAGCTTTCTGAGAAGGATGGGTACTGAAAAATGCTCTTTTGCAAGTACTTTTTAAGAAGGGGAGGTTTGAATGTCTCACAGTACAGTAGTTAATACTAGCTAATTTATTTCTATGCAAAACAATGCTTAACCCTTTGATTGAACCTTAGGGGGCAGCTGTTGCCTTCATCGATCAGAACTGCACACACCATTGCATATTTGCATAACTGGATATGCTGTTGCTGCATAAAAGATGCTTGTAAAATGTTCAGCAAAATGCCACAGTATTCAGAATTCAATATGGAAGCATTTATTGAGTGGATTAAGAAATAGTAGAACTCAAAAGTAGTTTTCAGTAACAAGATTTATTATTGACCAGTATCTTCCTAAGAAGATTCTGTAGGAATTGGAACTACTGTAGTGTACTCTGTATTTTTGTCAATTATCAGAAAATAAATATATAAATCCTGTCTGATAATGTTTGTATATGGCAAAAATCCAAGTAGTAAATTGCAATTACTGGGACGGAGCAAGTGGTTCACAGTAAAGAATTCTTGCTTAGCCTATCCTGTTCAGAGAGCAAAATGAATAAATAAATGAATAATTAAATACCTATTCTTGGGTTACTGTATCTTGGAAACTGTTTCTGGAAAGCATGTGGGGTCATATGAGGCCAATACATCCTCACAAGTCCCTGTCTTAGTATGATCGGGTTTTTTTTAAACCACACCTGTCAAATTCAACTGTTAAGAGGAAAGGTAGATTGTGTTGTTTGCATATTAATGGTATATTGTTGTATTTGGCACTTTAAAAATTGGGGACTGCAGAAAAGATCCATGGAAATGATTCAGAACCTGGAGAACATCCCTTGTACTGATATCCTTAAGAGCTGAGAACATCTGCTTGAAAGGATTTAAAGGAAACATGAAAATAGCAGAAAAAGCTGGAAGAGGAGAGGGAAAAAAAAAATCAAGTACCAAATATAGCACAGGAAAGCATAATCAGAAACTAATAACTGGAAATTGAAATAAGATTATTTGAATGAGAAGATACTTAATTAGATACAATTTATGGGTTTAATACTTTTAATAGTGGGTAAATCAAAATGATTCCATGACTTTAAATGCACTGAACATATGTACTGAATTAAATGCAGAAAATTATGTTTAAAAGAATGTCATTTGTATTGCAAAGTTTTACAATGATACGATAGTTATATAAGACTGTAATTACATTATCATGCTTCCCTCCCTACCCTTAAGGTCTTTGCCTTTCACAAGTTTGAAGAAGGGGAAGGATTTTTAAATTGCTTGAACTACCATAAAACTCTTGTTTTCCAACTTCTGAATATTTATGTTTTGAAAAAAATCAGACAATGTTAGTATTTTTGCATGCTTTAAGATACACAGATCAAAATAGTGACAGACCAGAGATGAAAAATATGCAGAGAAAACATAAAATATTCAGTATTACCCTTTAAACCTTTGTAGGCAAATTGTTTTATTTAGGCCATATGAATTACAATTGTACTTAAAGTTCTGCCTTGTTTTTTCCTCAGTTTGGTTTTCTCCCTGCCCTGAAGTCAGCTGACTACTGCTCCTCCCTTGTGATACATGCTTAGGCACCATGGTAGGGCAATCTGCCAGCTTTTAAAGGATTTACAACACCAAAAATACATTCCTCCTTGCTACTTGACACACTTAGCAGAAAAACACTACAATTACCTCGTCTCGCAGGGACATTGTGGTTAAAAAATAACATTTTTATCAACTCTCTACTCAAGTCTATGCAACACATTAAATCCTTTTCCATTGTGAATAGTCTCACAATACTCCATATGCTGTGTATTATTTATCTAAATAATAACATTCTTGGCTTGTGGAAAAGTTTCAAGATGCTAGACTTCGAGATTCTGAGAACTAATGCCTTTCAAATGAGGTTATACCTAGCTGTGCTGGCAAGACTCAACTTGTCATCAGTTTGTGGCATTACTCTGTGTGTGGCTTTAACAGATGCATCATTTCCTCGTAGCGTGCAGAGGACCGAGGATTTTTTTCATACTTGGACTTTACTAATGTATGTTGCTGCTGTAATTAAAAGAAGATGGACTGTGTGCTGTATGTGCCAGTCAGGTTTTCAAGCACTTCACTGATACAACATAGTCATATAAGTGTTTTGATTAGCTGTCTGTTAAATGAAAGATTTGGAAGAACAGCAGAAGAAACTGAAGTGCTATTCCAATTTTGGTCTTTTGGACTAAGTTTTAAAAAAAATGAATCAACAGCATATTATATTCATAACAGGGCATTTACGCTGTTGCATGTATTTCTAGAACGTAAAAACAACCTGAGAGAGAAGAGCATTCTTTTGTATGGAGACAGTAATTTCAAGCTAGGAAAGATGTTGCCATTTTTTAAATAGTTGCAATGCTTTGACTTGGTACAGCTAAGTTAGTGAAAAGTTTTTTTAAAAAAACAAACAAACATTTTTATGGACATTGCTTGTCTCTTGCAGTGTAAGGATGTAGTCCCAGCATCAGTTTAAGCTGGTATGAGTTTCTGTTGCTGAGGTCTTGCATAAACATTCCAGCTCTTTCTCTTGCCCTGGGTACTGGCGTTCATCTGGTTTATGGTGTATTAGTTGAAAGAAGTAGATCTGCAGAAAACTAATTTTGCGAAAGCAAGTTTCCATGGACATTTTAGCACAGGTTAATTTGCTTCACCACACTCCTTTTCTGCCTTGTGCTGGCAATAATGTTCCTGCAGTCAGCTGAGTCTGGAAATCTGTCTGGTTGAAATCAAACCCTGGAAAACAAAAGACTAGTTCTCAATCTAATCCTCTGTCTGAGAAGTCACACAAGTGCTTTTGTCAGCAGGGAGGAGTGTGTGGCAGAGGACTGAAGGGAGGGTGGGATTTCCCATTTCAGAGGCAGCAAGCTGTTAGTGTGGTTTGGCTGCAATCACCACTACACCACACCCGAAGGAAGGTCTTGATTGTTTGTCCTCTTCCAGCTGTTGCTGTGCTGGCTCAGGAGGTTGCTGCTCTTGGTGTCTTGGTACCAGCTCTTCAGATCTGACAGCTAATCGTGTGATTGTGCCTTAACACGTGTCAGCCAAAGCTTATCATCAGCTGAGCCAGTAATGGGTCACTGTTGCTGAAAGAGGAAGGTTTTGCATCCCTTTGTCCTCTCCTCCTGCCTGTGTGATGCATCCCCTTCTCTCTGCCGACTCTTGCACTTATTGGAGCCATCTGTGAGCCTCCATGGGAAACAAACCTTCCGTTTTTGCCATGGGGTAATGGGTAGTCTTCTGCTGCTCTTGTGAGTTACATTCATGGAAGAGGATGATGAGCAACAGGTGCACACAGCCAGACCAGGAGGAGGGAAGTACGACCAGTTGTGTTGAGCTTTTAGGTTGGCTCAATCCATTTTGTCAAACCACCCCTCAAGTTTAAGTTCTTCAGTTTAGTTCAGCTGACCTTGACTAAAATGAGCTAAGGAGCTGTTGTGCAAGCTGCTCAGATCAGATGGGATGGCAAGGACAAGCAACTGGTGCTGGGTTTGGATGATAACCTCATTGAGTATGTGGACCAGTGCACATCTCCAGCTTGGGGTGGGGAATGCTATTTACGCTGGTTGAGGAAAGCTACTGAAATTTCATTAGCAAAATGTACATCACAAAATTTGATTAGAAAGGTTTGTGCAGTGACTTTTGCGTCTTCGTGTAAGAGATTAATACGCTGAGCTTCAGAATAAAAAAGTATTGGGCAATGTGATTTTTCAGACTGCTGTTATTTTTCAGAAATCATTCTAAACGATAGCTTAATTCTAACTGAGAGAGTTTTTATTAAGAAATGCATTTTTCTCTCAGTTTGAATTCAATTTTTTTTATTAAACTGAAAATTCAGTTAATTTTTTAAAAACAAAACTAGGATGTACCTGTAAACTTTGCAGTAACTAGCCTTTAAATAGAATTTTAGTCATCTTTGGGAGGTATACACTACATAACATGCAACAAGTGGTGATTAGGGCACGGGACTCAGAGAGGGAAGGAGAGCTTGTGAATTGCCGTAGGCTCAGGAGGCAGATGGATCCTGTGCAAACAGTGGCTGCTCTGTCTGTGAAGACATTGTTCTGCTTTATTTTTGTTTTCTTCCCCACACCCCCCCGCCCCGCTCCAGACACATTTTGAATGAAAGTGGCAGATTGCTGTGCTTTATGAGGAACTCGGTGTTTCAGCTTGCGGAGTTGGATCCAGCTAGTGATTGAAGCGCTTAGGTGCTGCCCGCGTTGGGAGCAGGTGCAGAGCCCAGCTGTACAACCCCTGTAGGAACCCAGGAGGGACTTGCAGAGTTTGTAGAGCAAGAAGTTACTAACCTACGTAGCAAGATCGGAGAGATATGGTACAGATAACACAGCTGGCAGGAGAGAAAATTGTTTTCGAATCTCGTAATATTATTTAAAGAACAGGGACTTCTCTGTCTGAAATGTTAATTTACTGCCGTTGAATGTACTCTTTTTAACAATATGGTTTTGGAGAAGAGGAGAGAGGAAAGCAGTTCTAGCTTAGTGCTATGGGAGACCACTAATATGCTTTAATCTAGAATGAGACTAGTGTCTGTTCCCTTGTGAGGATCTGTGCTTGCTTTGCCTGGTTTGAATGTCAGCTGAGATGTTAGATAAGAGCAGGGGTTTGGTGTGGTCATGACTTTTTATTGGTAGCTATTGTTAAATGTAAGTATATATATTATATATATAAAAAAGTCAAGAAAAGTACCAAATAACATTGTCAATTACTTACCAAAGCCAGTTTTTAACAAAAAGGGCATTATTTGGGTGCAAATAAAAAAAGTATTTTGTATTTATTAGTATACAAAATCATTTCTAGTCATACTCAAATAATTAAAAAAAAAAATCAGAATACAGATCGAAATAATGAGGTTTCAGTTCTGTGTACCTGCTCATGATTCTATGATCTTCCTCCCTACCACATTACGTGACTCAAACTCCAGCAGAAAGTGTGTGTTTTAGAAGTAAAAGTTACTTAAAGCTTTAGAAATTTGAAAACAAAATTCCATACCATTCAAAGGAGGCTTAAAGCAGTTTCAGAAATGCAGTAGCTGAAGAATGTGCAGAACAAACTCCATACAAGTGTGTTGACTGTAAGCTTACTGCCATAACATTATCATTTGTCAATCATATCTGAGCTTGAACTTAAAGGCCTGTTAAATGATTGAGCTGATTTTTGTCCTGTGGAGCATTTAGGGGTGTGTAACTTCAGACAGAACTGTTTAGGCAGTATAATACTGATGTTATTTCAAATCAGAAGTTGATTTGTATATTAATTGTAGAATAAACATATGCATCTGTCATACTACATACCATTTTGATTTAGTCGTCTTTTTTTTTTTTCTTCATGCAGGTTTGTTGTTGAAGGTCATGTTCCGTATTTGAATGTTTTTCGGCATTTTCCAGAGAAGATGAAATTGTGTGGACTTGATCTTAAGATCTTTTGTGTAGAGGTAATTTTTTTTTTTTAAGGGGAAAGATTAAAAAAACAGATCAAAACCTAGTTATCTTGTGGTATTTCGATTTTTTTGGTCACTGTACTAATAAATTGATTAAATCTATTCTTATGTTGTAGAGTTCATGTTTTGCATTATTGGAGCCTGTGCAGAAACCAGTGTGCTCTGTGACTTGGAATGCTTTAATCTTTAACCAGTCTTATTAAGCTGATTATCTAAGTTAAAGTGAAATCAATAAGTACTTGTGGAGAAAAAGGTTTTCGGAACTGCTTTTGGAACACTCAGAAATAGGATTTGGCTTCCCATCTAAGGGCAATATATTATCCTCTTTGGTGCTTATTTAAAATATGTCTTGAATTTGTTTGCAATTCCATATTCTTTTCATAAAATATGGTTTAGATGTTATCTCTTGTTCTGTTTCTTCTTGTACTGGTTGAAATATATCAAACCTAAAATCTATGTAAGGGGTTACAGCCCTTCTAGAAGCTGAATGGTAATGGACACCTTGAGTAAAATGTAAATTTCCCTTGTTTAAGGTTATTATGTATTGTGGTAATGATCACACCCATGGTGTTGATGTTGCAGAAAAAAAGTATGGATTTTTGAAATGTGCAAATAAAATCTTAGCTTTTAAGAGCAGAAAGCAGCAATACTGCTAACAGGAAAAGCTAGGGTATGGTCTGCTGTAAGGTGTTTGTAGCCTAAGACTTCAGTGATGATGTTGCGAGTAATGTTACCATTCTCCAATATGTAGTTTACATTCAGTAGGTTGTGAGTTGTTCAGAAACTGATCTGCGGCTTTTTTTTTTTTTTTTTGGTACCACTGCTATCCTGTCTGGATAAATAGTAATTATGACCTCATCTTTTAAAAATCAGGAGATAAATGGAGTATAAAGCCTCTTGATTTCTTTTTCTGTCTTAAAACTTTTCCATTAAGAAAAGTTCTATCAGGTTGAAATGTGGGTGTAAACTTCTTTTTTTAAAAAAAAAACTCTTTTCATTTTCAGTCCCTTTGTCCTCCTTTGCCTCCACCCTTTGGAGGTGTTTTTGTCTCTCAAAAATGGTTGCATAGAACCTGTAGTCTGGCCTGACTACATAAAATAACACCTCCACCCCCAATCCTACAAATCATGCAGATGAAAATTTTTGTATGAATTGCAGCTGTAAAACTTGTACCATGCCTCAAAGTGGGAGCTCTGGTGGCTCCTCTAGCCTTGGAGGATCCTCCTGCTTTCTTTTGGGATAGAGCTGTTTCTGGCATGCAGGATGATCTGATGCCAATGCTGAAGGTGATTTCATCAGTCCCTATTAGCTTGCTGTCTCCCAGAGCTGTCAGTTTGGATTATTCTACTGTCCCTCCGTAAGCATGCTTTCACTATAGATCGTAGCATGTCCTGATGTGGGAGTGGGGACTTCACAACTTGAAAGCCACAAGCTGGTCAATTTAATCTTGTTCCACCTTTTATATAAAAGAGGAAGTCTAGCCATTTTACCCTCTGTCTTAAACACTTATATAGTATATATGCACTTTCTTTTTTTCACAAAACGGAAAAAATCTGATTTTTTTGGTCTTAATATTGCATACAATTAGTCTGTATCTAGTGTGATCTGCTATTTAACTTACAGGAAATTGCTGATCTAAAAGCTGAATTTAACTTTTGCCTTCCATCTTGCTTGTCTGTGATATGGGCACCTGCACCCCTCACTTTTCAAAGTATAAGTAGATACACATACTAATCAAGTAATCTCTTAACTTTTGTTTTCATTGCAATACTTAGGTAAGATTCTGTACAGAAAAAACTGTTTGTTTTCCAGCCACTCCAGTATTACTGTGGCTTCCTCTTTCTAGGAATATCTGCTCCCTGCTTTACCTTCAATGTTCCTGTAGTAATACGTCCTCAGGTTTATTTAGTTTTAACATTTTTGACTACGTTATTGGGCTGATAATTGCACAAACCTTACTACCTGTTTCCTACATCTTGTGTTTCAGAACTGATCTTGCTGCTTATTGCAGCACTGAGATTACCAATAGCTTACTGTATCTAGTTTTGACATCTGAGTTTTGAGAAATTCAAGAGATGAGGTTATTGTCCTGGAGCAGGAAGTTAGATTGTGTAATACTCCATCCTGAAAATACAGCCTGCATTCTTTTCTCCTTGGTGTTCTGTATACACTGTTCTATCGACAGTTATCTTCAAAACCTTTATGGGATTATGACTGTTGATAACCAGGCAGGTAAGATGCTCTAATGCCATTATTTGTCGTGCTTCAAGTCTGGTGAATGTAAGCTGCAAACATCTTCAAAAATCCTGATAACTGACAGGACTATTCAATATGTCTCCTCCTTATTTTGAACAGATTTTTAGTGCATTTAATTGTGTCCTGTGCTAATATCCTACAGCCAAATTTTGAATCAAGAAGTAGTTATGTCGTAGTAGCTTGAAGGATTTGAATTCATTCTACGTATCATTTTATCAGTTAAGTAAAGATGAAGCCTAACTTGATAAGGCTCATCTTATATAAAACCATTCTCTGTGGCTTAAAGTTTGGGTTTTTTTTTTCAGTAACAATATCCCATATACCCAAAATATACTGAATTTGTACAAGGTTGAAGTTGTTACAGCTTTAAAAAAATAAATGCAACAATTATTACAAGGTGAGTCACATCTACTTGCTATCTTTATATGTAGTGACGTGTGTATGTGTACATGCACAAGGGTTGTTTTATGCCTCGTCATTTAGTAGTAGTATTTCGTATGCAGGGAATGTGACTCCTCTTTGCCTTGCCAGATGATGAACTTCTGTGCTGTGTAACACAGAAATAGAGTCCATATCACTGACAATTTTTCCCTGTCCTGTGTACAATTTAGCAATTAGAGGTGATTGCAGCATCTGTCATACAAGGAGAAGCTGAGAGCACTGGGATTTTTATCTGTGGGAAAAGGAAGGCCGGGGAGGATTTCATGTATAAATGAAAATAATGTGTATAAACATCTGACATGAAGGAGCAGGGATGGAGTCAGACTTTCTTATTGGTGGTGTGCAGTGGAAGGACAGGAGTCAACAGGCACAAACGGAAGTACAGGAGATTCCATGTAAATGTAAAACTCTGTAAGCATGACTGACCATTGGAGCAGGCTGCCCTGAACCACTGTGGAGTCCACATCTTTGGAGATGCACAAAACCTGACTGGACACAATCCTGAGCAACTTGCTATAGTTGACCCAGCTTTGAGCAGAGGCATTGGACTCTACAATCTCCAGAGGTCACCTCAAATATGCTGTGATTCAAATGGTATAGTATACCTTGTATTCTATTTTACACTTTCAGTGTAGGTGGCAGATAAGTCCTTCATATTTTAGTAATGGCACAGCTAATAAGAAGGGCATAATTTTTCTGTCCAAACTGAACTTTAAAATACCTGCCACAAAGGTGATCATATCTGGTCACCTCTGTCTAGAAGTCTGGGAGCTCTGGGCATAACTGCCTCGTAAATAAAGAGAAAAGGAGCCTCCACCTCTTTGTATCATCTTTATCATGATGCATAACTGTTAGACACGTGTCAGGCCCTAGCTGGAGATAAGTGCTACCTCACAAGTATTTTTTGAAGGATAAAAGTACCTTCTAAAAGATCTTAATGTAAAATGAATTGTTTATCTTTCCATTGCTCCAAGTCTCTTTTCTAAGCCTTCATTGGTTATCCTTTTTATCCCTTCCTCTGTTAAAATCATGTGTATGTTAGAAGTTAGCCTTTGGTAAATGGGTTTTGCCAAAACACGTGATCAGAGGGTTCACAGAGCAAAGAGCAGCAGTAGCATGATGTTCCTGTTTAGTTCTTAGTTCAAAAGTTCTAAGTTCCCAATACAAGAGAAGAAAAGCAAGTTTTCATCTTACCCTGCAAAATTTCATTTTTTCTAAAACAAGTTTTCTTATTCCATTTGATTAAAAACTTTTTTATGCATCAAGAAGGAATAAGATACTTAAATTTTGGGTTTTGTTCTATGCAGGAGATCAAGGTTTTTTACTTGCTATGTGCGATTTGTTTAACTACAGTAAATCCCTGCTGATCTTGAGGCTTGTGCCAGTAGCCAGCATGTCTTTGATGAGCACAGTAATCTTTTCTCTTTTAGGTGGAAGTCATCTTTGTTTCCTTTTTAATGGAGAGGATATATATTTCTTTAAAAGCATGCTAGTGTAGGAGTTAAAACGAATTTGTAAATTAGTAGTAGTATGTATAAAGTTCCATGGGTAATTTGCTCTTGACTTGTTTTATTTTTATTGATAGTATCTGTCTTCCAGTGGAGCTATACACAAATTCCCTCTTCCATTTCTGCTTGAAGTAGGGATACATCCTTAAGATACACATCCTCTATTTTGCTTTTGGGGATTTATCTTTATCCTCATACAGAATTGATTAAAGCATCCCTTTTCTCTTGAGCCAGCAACAACTTGTCCTTGCCATAGATCTGATTTTCCTTATATTTTTGACTCAGGACTGTATACCTGATTATTTCTTACGTAATTATTGTGTTTGTGCTTTAAATTTGGTTCTGCTTTGCTGTCTCAAGTTTATGTTTAGCTTTCATTACTTTTTATAAAACTCATTACCATTAATGAGATTGAATTTTTTTTTTTGTCCCAAAATATTTTTTGGTTTTGGTTCTCACATTCTTGACACACACACGCAAACTTAAATGTACGTGTGTATATATAGGTAAGCAGGTCACTCCCATGGCTGTTGGGCAACATGATTTACTAAAGTACTGAAGATAAACACGTTGGTTTGGAGTATGTGCTCTGTGGAACAGGATAGGTGTAGTCTCGTAAATATCCTTTGGATCCTGTTGGTCTGAAGAGCTTTGGGGATGGTCATCTTTTTAGGTGCCCAGGTATCTGGACTTGGCAAGGAGCACTATGTGTGACCTCAGTGAAGTTCCTTTCTTTCAATCTCTCCTCCAGCTTTAAAATAACTCCTTTTTTCTTAACTTATTAAGAAT